CCTTCAAATCCAGCTCTGCTCCAGTTAAAAAGAAATGCGTGGTTTTTTGGGGCGAACCGTCAGAGATGCTCATTCTCCAATGAGTGTCCTTCTTGTCTGGGAAAGCTGGGCTGGGCTGGGATGGGATGGTGGGAGCATGGGAGAGGTATCCTTACCTCATGTCATGCTTCATTTTCTGAATTCACAGGCTGCCGTGGAAACAAAAAAGTACCAAAAGCTTTAGCTGCCCAGCCTGTGCATCCATGGATGCTTTGCTGGATGGCTGGGATCACCATCTGCCCCTACTGGGATGTGGTGGGGGGATTTTTATCATCACCCCCCACCTTTGCACTTGCTCCGTGGCTTTAAATCCTCCTTTTTTTCTTTTTTTTTTAACCCGAATGTGGAATGGGAGCAGCTTGGCTGGTGTCTGCTGCTGCTTTGTGGATGAACAGGACTTAAACTGGGAGATGCTGGACCTGTCGATGCCAAGGGGAGAGGTGGGGGAGGGATGGATGGATGGAGATACAGGGACGAGCTCCTCCAAGGCCACCCGTGCAGCGGGAGGATCGATCCCCGTGGGTGTTGTTGGCATCTCCTGGGGTTTTTCCAGGGAACGGGGTGAAACTGGGAGGCAAAACTGTGCTCTGGGTCAGAAGGAGGTGGGGAAACTTGGAGAGGAGCTTCACAGCATCCCGGGGCTGGGACTTTCCTGTAATGCCGGGCTGGGGAAGGGGAGACCTGGCTGTGGAGTTGGGGCTTTTAAGTAGTTTACGCAGCGATAATACTCAGCCTGGGGGTGCTTTTGGAGGCGCGTTGCTCACACATCAAAGAGAGGGGCTTTTTTTAGGATGCTGCTTCCAAAAGTGGGGAGCTGAATCCACCTGGGACTTTCCCCCCACTGCTCTGGGGCTCGGCGGGGGAGGCAATGCCCTGGACTGAACCTGCGGGGTGGGGGAGCACCTGAGAGGGGCCAGCACCCAATCTTGGGTCCTTGGGTGGGGGTGCTGAGGTGGGGAGGGGTGGGAGGGTGCTGCAGGGAGTGATGCTGTGGTTGGGGGAGCGGGGGATGCTATGGTGGGACCGGGCTTGAGGATGCTGGGGGGTACCAGGGGAAAGCTGCAGGGAGGGATGCTGTGGTTGGGGGGACGGGGAGGATGCTGTGAGGAGGGATGCTGCGTTGGGGGGCTGGGGGGATGCTATAGTGGGAGATGCTGTGGTGGGACAGGGATGCTTTGGGGGACCAGGGATGCTGCAGTTAGGGGACCAGGGAGGATGCTGTGATGAAGGATGCTACATTGGGGGACTGGAGAGATGCTGTAGCAGGAGATACTGTGGTGGGACAGGGATGCTGGAGGGGACCAGGGATACTGCAGAGAGGGATGCTGTGGTTAGGGGACCAGAGAGGATGCTGAGTTGGGGTCGCAGGGGGATGCTGGGGGGGACCAAGGGGGTGCTTCAGAGAGGAATGCTGTGGTTGGAGGGACGGGGAGGATGCTGTGATGCAGGATGCTGCACTGGGGGACAAGGGGGATGCTGTGGTGGGACAGGGATGCTGCAGGGAGGGATGCTGTAGTTAGGGAACCAGGGAGGATGCTGTGATGAGGGATGCTGAGCTGGGGGAGCAGGGAGATGCTGTGGGGGACCAAGGGGGTGCTTCAGAGAGGAATGCTGTGGTTGGAGGGACGGGGAGGATGCTGTGATGCAGGATGCTGCACTGGGGGACAAGGGGGATGCTGTGGTGGGACAGGGATGCTGCAGGGAGGGATGCTGTAGTTAGGGAACCAGGGAGGATGCTGTGATGAGGGATGCTGAGCTGGGGGAGCAGGGAGATGCTGTGGGGGACCAAGGGGGTGCTTCAGAGAGGAATGCTGTGGTTGGAGGGACGGGGAGGATGCTGTGATGCAGGATGCTGCACTGGGGGACAAGGGGGATGCTGTGGTGGGACAGGGATGCTGCAGGGAGGGATGCTGTAGTTAGGGAACCAGGGAGGATGCTGTGATGAGGGATGCTGAGCTGGGGGAGCAGGGAGATGCTGTGGGGGACCAAGGGGGTGCTTCAGAGAGGAATGCTGTGGTTGGAGGGACGGGGAGGATGCTGTGATGCAGGATGCTGCACTGGGGGACAAGGGGGATGCTGTGGTGGGACAGGGATGCTGCAGGGAGGGATGCTGTAGTTAGGGAACCAGGGAGGATGCTGTGATGAGGGATGCTGAGCTGGGGGAGCAGGGAGATGCTGTGGGGGACCAAGGGGGTGCTTCAGAGAGGAATGCTGTGGTTGGAGGGACGGGGAGGATGCTGTGAGGAGGTATGCTGCATTGGGGTCCAGGGGGATGCTGTGGTGGGACAGGGATGCTGTGGGGGACCAGGGATGCTGCAGTTAGGGGACCAGGGAGGATGCTGTGATGAGGGATGCTGAGCTGGGGGAGCAGGGAGATGCTGTGGGGGACCAAGGGGGTGCTTCAGAGAGGAATGCTGTGGTTGGAGGGACGGGGAGGATGCTGTGATGCAGGATGCTGCACTGGGGGACAAGGGGGATGCTGTGGTGGGACAGGGATGCTGCAGGGAGGGATGCTGTAGTTAGGGAACCAGGGAGGATGCTGTGATGAGGGATGCTGAGCTGGGGGAGCAGGGAGATGCTGTGGGGGACCAAGGGGGTGCTTCAGAGAGGAATGCTGTGGTTGGAGGGACGGGGAGGATGCTGTGAGGAGGTATGCTGCATTGGGGTCCAGGGGGATGCTGTGGTGGGACAGGGATGCTGTGGGGGACCAGGGATGCTGCAGTTAGGGGACCAGGGAGGATGCTGTGATGAAGGATGCTACATTGGGGGACTGGAGAGATGCTGTAGCAGGAGATACTGTGGTGGGACAGGGATGCTGGAGGGGACCAGGGATACTGCAGAGAGGGATGCTGTGGTTAGGGGACCAGAGAGGATGCTGAGTTGGGGTCGCAGGGGGATGCTGGGTGGGACCAAGGGGGTGCTTCAGAGAGGAATGCTGTGGTTGGAGGGACGGGGAGGATGCTGTGATGCAGGATGCTGCATTGGGGGACCGGGGAGATGCTGTAGCAGGAGATGCTGTGATGGGACAGGGATGCTGTGGTGGGACAGGGATGCTGCAGGGAGGGATGCTGCAGTTAGGGGGACCAGGGAGGATGCTGTAGTGGGGGATGCGGCGGGGGACCAGGGATGCTGGGGGTCTGAGGGTGCTGCGGGACAAGGGATGCTGCGGGGACCAGCAGGACCCTTTAGCATGACTCCCTCCACCACCTCTATAAGGACGGAGGGAACTGGCTCGGGGTGTTCCAACCTTCCTGCTTTAAAGCAGCTGCTGTGATTTGGGCTGCAGATCTGGTCGCACAAGGCCGGGGGGAGCTTGAATTCCTTCCAAAAGCACCTCCGCCTTGGCCTGGGCGCGGGGGCAGCCTGGGTGTGCTCTGTTTTGCTCCACATTCCCCGAACGCTTCACTAAACAGTGTTCATTTTTCTCCAGGATTATTAACTGTGTTTGTCTTAGATAAGTTTTGCATCAGGCCCAGCTCGTGCATATGAGCCTGGGAAAAGATCATAAAGCCTTCAAAAAAAAAAAAAAAATTTTAAAAGGCCGGAATGTAAAAGCAAACACTGGGGGTGGGGGCGGATTTTCCCAGTGTCTTTACCCAGCGGGAGGGGTGAAGCACACCGCCCCCCCCCGGGGGAAGCTCAGCTGGGTGATTTGGCGCTGAAGGAGAGAGGTGGGGGGTGAATTTCATGCTAAATTTGGGTCCCGATGCCCGGCAGCACCCCAGCCCTGGGTGAACGGGGGCTCTCAGGCCCCCCCAGGAGCATCGCCAGTCTCCAGCTGCGGTGGCAGATTTCCCCTCGGGGACTTTTGTGGCCAGTTTTCTAGGAAAAGAACCCCCCGAGAAAACACAAACCGCTTTCTGCTTTCCCCGAATTCTATTTTTTTTTTTTTTTCAAGCAAATGTTACGTATAAAGGGGCAAGAGGCCCCAGCTCCTTATCCCTGCTTGCTCCGACCCTTGAAGATGCAATCGTGGGTTTAATCATCCCTTTCCTTCCCAAGCCAGGATGTCCCCTAGATGCAGAAATACCCATGCAAGATGAGAACCAGGCTGTAAACTGGGGACAAGAGAGGCTTTTGCTTCCCCTTCCTGGCATCCCCAGGCGATGGTGGGACTGTGCCTGGGCACGATTCTCTGGGGAGGGCATTGATATCTGTGTTTTACAGAGGAGAATTGGTTCAGGGGGAGACAGGGCTTTCCCCGGGTGCCACCTCGCTCTCCCCATCCCTCTGCTTTGCTGTCAAAGGACATGGTTTTCTTTACTTCGTATCCCATCCCGTTTCTTGTAGCGTGGTTTAATTGTCATTAATTCCCTTTTAATTGCCTTTCCTGCCCTTTTTATTAATTGCCCTTCCTGCCCTTATAATTTCAGGAACCAGTGAGGAACCCTGGCTCCCATGGGACCGTTTTTAGTCCCGTTTCTCCTCTTTCTTGCTATATTTTGTCCCCAGAAGCCACTGGTCTTGACTTATTCTTGACTGCGCAAGAATGAGGCCCCATCAGGCGGCAGGTGCTGGGCTCATTAACAGCGCTTCGTTAGTCAGGGTAGGGTGCTGAGATGGGTGACCCCCCCCCTCCACCTCCCCCCTCCCTTGTCTTTCCCCTCACCAAGGTGACTAATCCCTCGAGACCAGGATTTCCATCGCCCAGCCCAGGCGTGCACCTTTCCTCTTGGCTGGGCATTTAACACCTCCTCAACCCTCTCCTCCTCCGAGACGGGGCCGGAGCGGGGAACAGCTTGGTTACAGGGAACGGGGTTGGGGAAGGCAAAGCCAAACCCAGTGCTGAGCCGGGCTTAGGGTAGGATTCATCCTCGGGGAACAAAGTCTCCTGTGTACTTTCCCATTTTGGGAAGCTTCTCTCAAGCCGGTAAGTTAATTTTCCATCCTTGCTGGGAGCTTCTTCCAGGAGCCAGAGGTTTTGGAGGAAGAAAAAAGTCGCCCCTCTTCCCCCGCCGCTGTCGGGGTATGCGTTGAGCTTGTGGCATCCTCTTTTCCCTGGGCTGGGATGGTTGAATCGAAGGCGTTGGAGGTTCCCCAAGTAGGTGGTGTTCTTTGCTTTGACCCCGCTGGGCTGCTCCTGTCCTTTCTGCCTGGCTCGGTGGCGGTGGTGGCACGTTTGGCTTCACACCTGTGGTGGCTGGTGCCACTTGGATGCTTGAGCAGGGATTGGGCTTAAAATCTCCCCCTACCAAAGTCATCGCCATGGCCTTCCATGTGGGTGCTTCGGGGTTGTGCAGTTGAAAACCCACCAGGGTCTTGTTTTCCCTCCTTATCTTTTTTTTGTTTCCTTTGAAATTTCGGCGTTTAACCCGTAGGGCTCCTGGGGAAGCGCGGCCGCTTGCCTGGCTTTTGTAAACTCGGCGTAAATCAAACCTTGGGTGGCTGCGGGGGCAGAGGAACGTGAATAAATCCCCCCTGGGGAGCCCTTGTGCTCGCTCGTCCTGGGGTGTGGATGGGGCAAACGGGGGGTGATACCTCTCAGAGAGGGTTTTGGGGTTGGCTCCCATGGGTTTGGACCTCATCCCGTGCCTTTCCCCTCTTTTCCCACCACAGGTGACCGGTGGCAGCCGCGATGAGAGCTCCGGCCCTCGCCTGATGCCTCTCCTGCTGATAAAAATGATCAACAAGTCTCGTGAGTCCAATGGCAGGGTTCTGTCTCCCTCTTCCCAAGCTGTCCCTGGGGGATTTACTTTTGGAAATTCAGTTTTGGGGGTAGGATGCAGCTCCAGCCTGGTGATGGAGAATTGGAGCATCACGGGCGAGGTCGGGGTGAGGAGGGAGGTTTTTAGGGTCCTGGATCCTCTGGGCTTGGGCACACCTGGTAGCCCCTGGGCTTTGTGGTAGGAAACCAGGATGGAGGCACCCGGAAAGAGAGAGGGAATGTGTTTGTGCAGCCTTTGACGCATGTTGGGCAGGAGGGAACAACACGGTGGCTTTTGGACCTGGAACAAACCCAACCCGGTCCCCTCGGGGGCTCCGTGCCAGCCCGGCCCCTGCTGCGCCCTGGGGAGAGGCTTTGCTGGGGGTGGCTCCGATGTCCTGGATCTACCAGGACATCCCTGGAGGGTGCAGGTCCCCAGCACCTGAGCATCCAAACCCTGGGTACTGACCTGATGGTGTTTTTCTTCCTCCCCACCGCCCCCCGGCTCTCTGGGCACACAGGAGGGAAGATACTCGGGGTGCTGGCGCTGTTTCTGGTGATGGTTTGGTACTCGATCTACCGGGAAGACAGGTACATACAGCTGTGAGTGGCTTTTATTCAAGTTTGAAGGACCTCCTGCCCTTTCCTTCGCTCTTGGGAAGGTGGCACCTTCCCACAGGGATGCCGGAGCATCCTCTGGCTGGATCCTGGGGAGCAGGGAGGTGGCAGCATCCCCGGAGGAGGGGGGACACGATGCAAGGATACCCTTTGGCGTGTTGGTGGTGGGGCTCTGTGGGTTTGGTTTTTTGGGGATTTTTTTGCAAATGCTGGTGTTTTTCTGAGCCCAGGAGAAAAAGCAAACGCCGCTCTCTTCCCAGTGCCAGCGGACGGCGAAAGCAGAGAGCGTGAGGTCTATGTGCAGGGCAAGAGAGACCTCTTCTGATGCAAGGCTGGAAGCCCAGCACATAAATTCACTGAATTTCACTGAATTTTTTTAGAGTTGGAAGGGACCATAGAGATCATCTAGTCCAACTCCCCTGCTGAAGCAGGACTGCCTAGAGCTTGTCAGAGCATGTTACTCAGGAGCATCCAGGTGGGGCTTGAAAATCTCCAAAGAAGGGGACTCCACACCCTCCCTGGGCAGCCTGTTCCAGGGCTCTGGCACCCTCACTGTGAAGAAGTTTTTCCTCATATTTGAGTGGAACCTCTTATGTTCCAACCTGTGCCCGTTGCCCCTCGTCCTCTCACTGGGAACCACTGAGAAGAGTCTGGCTCCCTCCTCCTTCAACCCACCCTTGAGATACTTGTCAGCATTGATAAGGTCTCCCCTCAGCCTTCTCTTCTCCAGACTAAAGAGTCCCAGCTCTCTCGGTCTTTCTTCATAAGGGAGATGCTCCAATCCTTGAATCATCTTTGTTGCCCTTCGCTGGACTCTCTCCAGTAGTTCCCTGTCCCTCTTGAACTGGGGAGCCCAGAACTGGATGCAGTACTCCAGTTGTGGCCTCCCCAGTGCAGAGCAGAGGGGGAGAATGACTTCCCTTGACCTGCTGGCCACACTCTGCCCTACGCAGCCCAGGATTCCGTTGGCCTTCCTGGCCACAAGAGCACCCTGCTTGCTCATTGGCATTTTGCTGTCCACCAGGACCCCCAGATCTTTCTCTTGTCTTGTCCCTGGCTTGAATCCCACCACAGTGGTGCCGGAGCCACCTTTGCCAGGAGGGGGAGGCAGAGGAGCAGGCATCGTTTTATTTTTCTTCTTTTTTTTAACCTTCTCCCTCACAGCTTTTATTTCCCCGTGCAAGAAAACAAGACCATGTGTCCCCTCGGGGAGGTGGAGAGGAAAGCGGCACAGCTCATCGGGAAGTGAGTATCGGGGTTGGGAGCAAGGAAAGGGAGGGGATGGGGAGCCAGGAACCCCCCAACCCCAGTGTCACCCCTCCATCCCGGTCTCACCGGCCCTTTGCTCCTCGGCAGCTACACGAGGGACCACCCGCTCTTCTTGCAGCTGAAGGACTATTTTTGGGAGAAGACACCGTCGCTCTACGAGCTGCCCTACGGCACCAAAGGAAGCGGTAGGCCTCGGCAGCGCTCGCCATGGGTTTCCTTCTGTCCGTCTGTCCTCCTGCCGATCCCTGGGGGTTTCAGCTTCCCTCTTATTAAAAACACCTGCAGGTTGATTCTTTTTCT